AAAAAAAAAAAAAAAAAGATTGTCCTCAGATCAAAGTGGATTGCATTCTGATAGCTCTTCAGCGATCTCTGAATGCCAGCATTTTATGATTCACTACATATTCTACTCGCCCTTCTTTAATTCAACATAGACTGTTACTAAGAATGGCTTTGTGTATACAAACAGGGTACAAGACTATTTTCTTTTTTTTTTTTTTTGAGACAGAGTCTTGCTCTGTCACTCAGGGTAGAGTGCAGTGGTGTGGTATCGGCTCACTGCAACCTCCGTCTCCCAGGTTCAAGCAATTCTGCCTCAGCCTCCTGAGTAGCTGAGACTACAGGCTTGTGCTACTATGCCCAGCTAGTTTTTTTGTATTGTTAGTAGAAACGGGGTTTCACCATATTGGCCAGGCTGGTCTCAAACTCCTGACCTTGTGATCCGCCCACCTTGGCCTCCCAAGATAGAAGGCTTTTTATTACACTGCTCATTCAGCTCTCAGTGACCTTGCAAGAAAGGCTGGAACATCATTTTATAGAGGGAGAAATATAAAAATTAATTTGCTCAGGACCCCACGGCTGTTAAGTAGTAGAATAAAAATGAAGCCTGTAGTCTGCATGGCTCCAAGCCTTCTGCTCTTTTCATGACAGCAGCCTGCAGAAATGCAGTGGCACAAGTGTGTGCCCACAACTGTTTCATGCATTCAGGCATTAAGTTCCACTTCTATCAGCATCAGAGTTGGTATACCAGAATACTTACATATAGAAGGTGAAGAAATGGACAGAAGCTGGTTAGGAGCAAAATTCTCAAACTTTTGCTTAAAAAAAAATCCGAACAAATGAGTCTGGGCCAAGTAAAAGATTGGTTACATACTAATTTCTAGAATTTATGGTTGATTTTATTTTTAAAGTGAACTTGTATTTTGGTTTTCATTTTGTGGCTGTTTTACCTAAAAGGAAAAATTAACGATAATTCGGAGTAGTTTCTATATTAACTATGGAAAGAATTACTGTTTATTATCTTACACAGTCTTTTGAGTTATTATGAAATAAATACGTGAATGACATAGAGTTCCTTAATAACTATTTAGCAACCTTGGAAGAAGGGTGCTAAATTAATAAAAGGACACATTCAATGCTGTTCTTGTAATTCTTACTAGGGGCAATAGAAGTTGTTTCTTAACTATTTTGAAATGGACCAAGACAATAAATTCTTTGTAATAAAAGACATTTATATCTCATTTTCTTTGTTATCAACTTGATTTATATATGATCAGCTGAACATTCATGCATTCAACATATTTGTTTCAAACATTATGCAAAGCATTGTGCTCGATGCTATAGAGATAAATATAAGTCTACAAAGTATTCCTCTTGGCTAGTATTCCACATCTTACTCATTTCTTTCCTTTTTCTTCCTACAGGATAAGCTACAATATTCTTTTAAAATAAAGCAGATGATTTTATAGTATTTGCTTGATAGTTTGTTGTGAATTTTAGCAAGTATTAAATACAACTTTAGAATAGCTGTCAGGTGTTTTTATATATGTCTCATACAGTTTGAATAATTGTGGGACTCTATTTTCAGATGATTTGAAAGGAGAACTAGATGAATATGTCCAAAAATACCTCCCTGGAAAAATTAAAATCATAAGAAATACCAAGCGTGAGGGCTTGATTCGAGGAAGAATGATTGGCGCAGCCCATGCGACAGGTATCACTTCTCGTTAGCTTTGCTCTGTGGGTGCTGGATGGCAAGGGCTTCAGCCTCAGGGCCTTTGCTGATTCTGCAGTCTATGAACAGTGGTGTTTCAAATGGACATTGCCAGCAGGAGAGATAAGGCTTGTTCTCTTTGGGAAGCCTTTTCAATAGCCCCCAGCCTGCTACCCCAAAGCATGTAGTGTAGGGGGCTGAACTCTCAAATCCTCAGTGTCTATTTTCTTAGTGACCCTTTTTGGTAGTTACTGCCCCTCAAGTCGATTCTGTATCTTGTTCCTTATATAAGCAGAAAAGCTGAGACCAACATATGACTAAACTTTTATGATTTTAAATACAAAATTTTAAATGTATGAACCCAAACTGTTGATTGGAATTATGCTTTTAATTCTTAGTGTGGAGTGCATGCCTTGAGCTACACATTATGGCTTTAATTGGGAAATAGATGTAAGATTGACTTACATAACTATAAAAGGCATTTTCTTTAAAATTCCCTCTAATTCTTCTGATTGCATCCGGAAAAAGTCTCCATTGTTACTAGTATATCTTTAAAACCTTTCCATCATGCGCTGATCTCCCAAGCCTTTGAAAAGAAAGAACAGGCATCAAATTCAGGCTTCTGCAGAAAATATATCTGTTTGGTCTTCAGTTATATTATATTGATTCTGTTGTATTTTGTTTTATGGTTACTTGTGTGTAATTGGTCTCCCTGAGTTTTAGTTATGATCGTGATTTTTAAAAAATTTTTAAATAAATTTAATTAAATCAAAACTGAAATGAATCTGCCTAAAAATGTTAGGTATATCATATTGCAGGTAGTGCATAGACATGGCAAAAAAATTATGGAAGTCATTTGAGAATAACAGAACTTGGTGGGGACATTCCCTAGCAGAGACAGCATCTGCTGCAGTCCTTCCTGTATTCCACGCTCTTCTAGATAACCTGCCACCAGGCTTGTGGTGGTTGGCATTGCTCCCCCACCCCGCTCCTCCTGTGTAGCCACTGGCTCATGTGCTGGGGTGAACTAGGACTTCACTTTTAGGATCTGTCTTCTCTTCATTCTCTTAAGCCCACGGTGACCTGAAGCAATTAACAAACAAGAGAAGCAGCTCCTCTACATCCCGTCTGCAGTTGGAGGCAGACTGAATTCAAGGCTTGAGATATTTTCTTTTCTAGGTTTCTAGTCATGTAGAGACTTACTGAATTGACTTTGGAATTACTCAAGGCTAAGCAATAAAGTGAAAATTGTGGGGTATTTTCAATATTAAGCCACTCAAAACATTGTACTGTTATAATGCATGTTTACTGTGAATTGACTTTTTTTTACATAGCAATAGTTATTTAGGTTTTTTTCCCTTTATGATCTGTTCAGGTCCTCATTCAGATACAGTTTAGGATCTGTCAGAAGTAAGCCAGTTTGCGTGGAAGTCATTGTCTCAGGTTCAGTGTGACTAAGCGTAGTTTTTATTTAGTTAAATTGGTGTTAATTGGAAAAAATAACACTTAGAATTAAGAAAAGCTATGGGCTGGGCATGGTGGCTCACGCCTGTAATCCCAGCCCTTTGGGAGGCCGAGGTGGGCAGATCATGAGGTCAAGAGATCGAGACCATCCTGGCCAACATGGTGAAACCCCGTCTCTACAAAAAATACAAAAATTAGCTGGGTATGGTGGCGGGCGCCTGTAGTCCCAGCTACTCAGGAGGCTGAAGCAGTAGAACTGCTTGAACCCAGGAGGCAGAGGTTTCAGTGAGCCGAGATCACACCACTGCACTCCACCCTGGAGACAGACTCTGTCTCAAAAAAAAAAAAAAGCTTTGAATCCATTTTCTCCTGGAAAAAATCTTGACTGAATTGATCTCACCCCCACTGAGGACCATGTCGGACGTTTTGCCTTTCTGCCTTCGGTGACAGCGGAGAGCTGCCTGCTGCTCACATCCCTCCCCATTCAGGTTGTTCACAGACACTGAACTGCGGGACTGATTCACTGACGACATTGAAAACTCTGTCTGAGATACTGCTTTTATCACTAGTTGAAGTTGGATAGATAACATCTGGTGCTTTAAGTAGTTCATATAAAATCTTGATACATGAGTGCACATTTAGAAAATCAATAATGCAACCTGATGATGAGAGTTGAAGTTTCTCAACGGCCCAGAAGAACCATGGAGTTCTTAAATTTGTAATTTTTAAAAAAAATCCTCAGTCCTGCTCACATTTATCAATAGGAGCTTAAAATGCAGGATAAAAGTTTGATGATTTCTATTTTGCGAACCAGAAGAAAGGTGTATCCCATTGGCAGATGAGAGCCACTGAAGCCAAGAGGATCGGGGGTAGTAGAAAGGAAAGGTGGGAGATGGAAGAAACAGAAATGAGCACAAGGTGTCCCCGACAGCACCACCGCTGCGCCTCCCTCACTTTGGGGAGAACTGCTGTGCGATGGCATTCTTCCTTAGTGGCCGTGCATTTCTTAGTCACTGGTGAAAAGGCAGCTGTGTTCTCTGTTCTCTGTTTACTGAGGCAGAGAGATGTATTCTAAGTGTGTGCTAAATTTCAAAATACTTTGATTAAAATAATTGTAATAGAAATAGCTACACATAACTGGCCACTGTCATGGCACCGAAACCTCTTGAAATAATATCTGGCCTTGCAAAGAGTTGCACTGTTACTGTGAGACTCTGACTCTGTTTACTAAGAGATTCTAAATTGTCGGCCAGTTTTCTCAAGAGACGCGCGTATAATTTATATGGGTCCCTCAATTACAGCAGGACACTGCATACAGCATTACTGGCTGAGGGACGTCCCTTGTGGACCATCGGCAGTCAAGTGTGATGGAGCGATAAAGCCATCTGGTGCTGGGAGGTGGCCATCGCATTTCATGCTGTGTCATTGCACCATCCCATCACATGGGTAGCTATACCTAAATGGAGTGTTAAAACGCTCTTCTGAGCCGCTGTTGTTGCCTCCCCAGGAGAAGTCCTTGTGTTCCTGGACAGCCACTGTGAAGTGAACGTGATGTGGCTGCAGCCCTTGCTGGCTGCCATCCGTGAGGACCAGCATACCGTGGTGTGCCCAGTGATCGATATCATCAGTGCCGACACACTTGCCTACAGCTCGTCCCCCGTCGTCCGCGGGGGATTCAACTGGGGACTGCACTTCAGATGGGATCTCGTCCCCCTTTCTGAGCTAGGAGGAGCCGAGGGAGCCACCACACCAATAAAGTAAGATCGCTCCTTTGTTTGAAAAGTTTCCACCAGTGCTTCCTTAAAAGAGAAAAAAATTATGTTAAAGATAATTCCTCCTTCTTTGTAAGGAGCGAAAGTGTTGACTTAATTTGTATGTTAAAAAATTCTTGAGTTTGTATTGAACTTTATGCAGTCTGCCAAGTCCTAAGGAAAGATTTATGATTAAGATACTATCAGTGCCCTCAAGGACTCAGAGCTTCCTTCCTGAGAAAGGCAGATAGAGCAGGCCACCATTGCCGAGGAAGCCCTACAGAGTTTATGTCAAACACCTTTGTGGACTTAGTGTCACCAACTTGCCTTCAGCTCTTTGGTAGTGAGTGGTGCTGTGAAAAACATTAATATGCAAGCCTTTTCTTTCATTAGGATTTTGAAGATGATTCCTGCTGGTATAGTTACGAAGTCACAGTATAGAATTATTTTATGTTCTCACCTGTGTTTCATCTTCTCTAAAATAAATCTCTCTTATTTTTGTTTTCTTTAAAAATTTCTTATTTAGGCCAGGCGCGGTGGCTCACGCCTGTAATCCCAGCACTTTGGGAGGCCGAGGCAGGTGGATCACGAGATCAAGAGCTCGACACCATCCTGGTCAACATGGTGAAACCCCGTCTCTACTAAAAATACAAAACATTAGCTGGGCATGGTGGTGTGTGCCTGTAATCCCAGCTACTCAAGGAGGCTGAGGCAGGAGAATTGCCTGAACCCAGGAGGCGGAGGTTGCAGTGAGCCGAGATCGCGCCATTGCACTCCGGCCTGGGTAACGAGAGCGAAACTCCGTCTCAAAAAAAAAAAAAAAAAAAAAAAAAAATTCTTACTTAGGTTGAATTCAAAGAGGTTTGTCTGTATTTTTACTTTTTTTAAAGTTTTTGCCCCTACTCTTTTTTTAAAAGCTTTTTGTTATGGAAAATAACGTACATAAAAGGTATAAAGTATGTACTCCATATGCACACACACTTTAACACATGGTCACACTGTGACACACAGGTAGCTACCAGCCAGTGCAGGAAGCAGCGTGCAGACCCAGTCACTGCCCTGACACGTAGAGGTGTCTTTGCTCTGACCCTGGTAATCATTTTCTTGCTTTCCTGTATAATTTTGCTGCCTAAGAATACATCTCTACACAAAACAGTTCAGTTTGCCTGCTGCTGTACTTTGCAGAAGTAAAGACATTATGACTTCTTATTTTGTCTTGCTTCTTTTTTTTTTTCTTTTTCTTTTTTCTTTTTACAGTAGAGGGAAGGGAAAAGCCAGGAAGGAGGGGAGGAGAGCGCTCTTTCTTCTTTTGTTGAACATTTTAAAATATTATTCCATGTTGTATATAATTTTTTTTGCTGTATAATATTCTCTTACATGAATATACCACAACTTGTTCAGTTTACTGTTTTTTGATGGGACAACTGAGGTGTGTTCGTTTTTTTTTTTTTTTTTTTTTTTGAGATGGAGTTTTGAACTGT